TCCCTCCCTTCCCCCCCTCCCTGCAGATGCGCCGCCTGGGGGAGCGACGGGCGGCGGAGGCCAGTCGGAAGGCGGCGCAGGAGGAGGCGCTGCGGGCGAAGGAGGAGGCGGAGGAGCGCAAGCGGCAGCACCTGATCCAGCTGTGGAGCGGCGCAGCAGAGCTGGTGGAGCAGCGGCGGCGGGAGCGCGAGGAGTTCTTCCGGAAGGTGAGTAAGGCAGCGGTAGTTTCATGTCTTGTCCCTTTTGTTGTCATTTCTTGTGCTATTATCATGTGCATTTTCATTCCAGATCATTTTGTTATTATTATATAATGTTATATTATCGTGTGTATCATGTGCTATCATATCATGTCATTATATTTTGTATGACGTCATCATGTCATATCACTTCTTTTTAAAATATTTACCCTTTTGTTGCGTCGATAGCGTTATTCTTTCAAAAAATTTTTCTTTAAAATTCGTCCTTTATCATTTCATCACATTTCATCAATATCTCCGGAAGGTGAATTTTCGTTATCTTTATAATTTTCATGTCACATTTTATACGGTATTCTTATCATTTCATCGTAAACTTTATCCCACCTTGCTCTCCCTGTCTTTCCCTCTCCCCGCTTCCTTCCTCTCGCCCTCTCCCTCTCCTCCCTCTCTCTCTCCTTCTTCCACTCCTCCCTTCCCCTCCCCTCCCTCTCCCTCTTCCCCCCCACCACTCCCACTCTCCCACTCCCCTGCCCTCTCCCACACCCTCGCCCTCGCCCTCTCTCTCGCCCTCTTTCCCTTCCCTCTACCCCACTCACAACCCTCACCCCCACCCTTGCCCACTCCCGCTCCCCCCCCTCCCCTCCCCCTCCCCTCCCCCTCATCCCCTCCCTCCCCTCCCTCTGCCCGCTCCCCTCTCCTCTCCTCTCGCTGCTCTCACTGCTCTCCCCCTCCACATTCCCACCCCCGGCTTTCGCCCTCGCCCTCATTCCCTCTTTCTCTCTCTCTCGCCTATCGCACCTTCCCCTCCCTCTCCCCTCCCACACCCCTCACCCTCCACCTCGATCTCGACCTCGCCCTCTTTCCCCCCTCCTCTCTCTCTCTCCTATCCCAACCCTTCTCCCCCTCCCTCTCCCCTTCCACACAGACCTCAGACCCTCCACCTCGACCTCGACCTCGCCCATCTTTCCCCCCTCCTCCTCTCTCCCTATCCACCCTTCTCCCTCCCTCTCCCCTTCCACCACCTCCCCCTCCCCTCCACCTCGACCTCGACCTCGCCCTCTTTCCCCCCTCCTCTCTCTCCCTATCCCACCCCTTCTCCCCTCCCTCCACCCCTTGCCCACACCCTCACCCTCCACCTCGATCTCGACTCGCCCCTTTCCCCCCCTCCTCTCTCTCTCTTCTATCCCAACCCTTCTCCCCCTCCTCTCCCCTTCCCACACCCCACCCTCCCCTCCACTCGACCTCGACCTCGTCCTCTTTCCCCCCTCCTCTCTCTCTCCCTATCCCACACCCTTCTCCCCTCCCTCTCCCCCTTCCCACACCCTCCCCCTCCCCCTCCACCTCGACCTCGACCTCGCCTCTTTCCCCTCTCTCTCTCCCTATCCCTTCTCCCCTCCCTCTCCCCTTCGCCACACCCTCCCCCTCCCCCTCCACCTCGACCTCGACTCGCCCTCTTCCCCCTCCTCCTCTCTCCCTAATCCCACCCCCTCCCTCCCTCTCCCCTTCCCACACCCTCCCCTCCCCCTCCACCTCGACCTCGACCTCGCCCTCTTTCCCCCCTCTCTCTCTCTCCCTATCCCACCCCTTCTCCCCTCCCTCTCCCCCTTCCCACACCCTCCCCCTCCACCTCGACCTCGCCCTCGACCCAGCGCGTGGAGGACGGCAACAGCGCGGAGGCTGAGCGCAACGAGGCGAGGCGCGTGCAGGTGGAGGCCCGGGCGGAGGCGCTGCTGGAGGCGATGAGGCACAACATGGAGGAGCGACTCTCGAGGGCGGAGCACAACCTCCGGATGCTCAACGAGGTCAAGGAGGACACGCTCCGGAGGCAGAGGTGGGCCGGATCTTTGAAACTCTGGGTTCGAGTTTATTCGTTTATTTGGCTTTCTTTTCCCGGTTGTTGAAGGATTCTTTAACGTTTTATTTATTTTCTGTTCGTTTATCAGTATCGTTATCTTTTGCAATAAGTTCGTTTGTTGTAGGGTTTTTAATGTTGTATTCCTTATCTGTTTATCTATCATTATTATCATCTTTTCAGTAAGGTCGTTTGTTGCAGAGTTTTTAATGTTTTATTTCTTATCTGTTTGTTTATCATTATTATCATATTTTCAGTAAAGCCGTTTTATTGCAATTATGTGATTTATTATTCATCGATTTATTTTCTCCTTTGTAGTAAACTCTTATTGAAGATGTATTCCGATCATTCATTTATAAAAAAGAGTTATAAAGAGATATAATTGATTTTATAGATTCTAAATTATCAATAGAAAATGCAGTTAATATTCATAAGCAAAAAGTTCATCATCAGTGAATGATTAGCGATGAAGGAGTTATATCATGTATTGAATCACTTTATTGATATCAGTATCATTATCTGTTGAATCACTGTTACAATTAATCTTACAGTTTAGGTTACAATTATAGAATTATTACCAGTCTGAAGTTACATTTGATTTAATTAATTATCTATGATGATAATGGTAATGATAATAATAGTAATGATAATAATAATAATAATAATAATAATATAATAATATAAAATAATAATAATAATAATAATAATAATAATAATATAATAATAATAATAATAATAATAATAATAATAATAATAATAATAATAATAATAAATAATAATAATAATAATATAATAATATAATAATAATAATATAATAATAATAATAATAATAATAATAATAATAATAGTAATGATGATAATAATAATAATAATAATAATGATAATAATAATAATAATAATAATAATAATAATAAATAATAATAATAATGAATAATAATAATAATAATAATAATAATAATAATAATAATAATAATAATAATAATAATAATAATAATAATAATAATAATAATAATAATAATAATAATAACAGTAATAATAGTGATGATGATGATATGGATAATAATGATGATAATAATATTAATATAACATCATAACAATAATGAAAATAATAATTATGATAGTAACAATAAGAATAACAGCAATAACAATGAAAATAATAATAGTAATAATATTAACAATAACAACAAGAAAAACAGTGATAATAATGATAATAACGAAGATAATAATGATACCAATACCCCCCTACCCCCTCCCGCCGCAGAGACGAGCGCGGCGGCGCCGCATGGCCGTGCGCGCCCTCCACCACCAGCTGGAGGCGTCGATGCTGCAGTGGCGCCAGCACGTCCTGCGGCGCCTGATGGAGTCGCTGGCGAAGGCGGAGACGCGACAGGAGGAGTACCTGCAGACGCGCGCCAACAGGATCCACCATGACAGGACGGCGAGGATGAACCACCAGCACGAGATGATGCAGATGTGAGGGGGGGGAGGGGGGAGGAGGAGGGGGAGGGGGAGGGGGGAGGGGGAGGGGAGGAGGGGTGGAGGGGAGGGGGAGGGGGGAGGCAGGAGGGGAGTGGAGGAGGAGGAGGAGAAGAAGAGAAGAAAAAGGAGATAAAGAGGGAGAAGAAGAAGGAAAAGGAGAAAAAGAAGAAGAAAAAGGAGAAAAAGAAGAAGAAAAAGGAGAAGAAGGAGAAAAAGAGGAAGAAAAAGAAGAAGGGATGAGGATAATGAATGAATGATTAGTGAAAATCATGGAGGAGGAGGTTGAGAGAGAGGAGGAAGGGAAAGGGGAGGAGAATAGGGACGAGAATGAGAACGAGAGGCAGAAGGAGGAGGGGGAGTAGAAGGATAATGAAAAGGATTAGTATGACGTTGATGAGGATGTGAATGAGGGAGAACATGAGAACATGAGTAGGACGAGGAGAATGAGCATAAAAGAAGGAGGAAGGAGAATACGAATGAGCAAGAGAAGGGAAGGGAGATTAATATGAAGTTGTAGATTTATTTTATTTTTCAAATTTCGATTTGCAGATTTTTCATCTTATTTCTATAAGGAAGAAAGTTATGGCTTATCATGGCATGTTCCTTATTTCTTACTTTATCTGATCTTATTGTAGATGGAAGAGAATGTATTGTCTATCTTTCTAATTTATTGAATTATATTGTGAAAAATCATTTTGAAATATAGAGAGAGTTAATTTTTAGGCCATTTTTATTCTTGTATTTGCTGGCGTTATGTTGTAATATTTGATTTTTAACGATAACTCATTTTATTTCCATTATTTACTTATATCTATTTATGAAATGGTTCTAATCAAATGTACGTAAGGAGAAGGTGGTGTTTTTTTCTGAGCTGATGTACTTTGCAATAGTTTTAGATTTCAGTTTTCGTTTTATCTGGTGATTAATTTCATAATTTCATCCTTCCTTTCCAACCCCCCTCCCAACCTCCCCTCCTCCCTCCCTCCACCCTTCCTAACCACTCTATTTATCTCCCCCTCCTTCACTCTCCTCCCTCCTCCTCCCTTTCCAACCATCTTCTCCTTCCTTCCTACCTCCTCCCTCCCTCTACCCTTCCTAACACCATCCCCCCTGCCTTCTTAACCACCCTCTCCATCTCCCTCTCCTTCTCTCTCCTCCCTCTATCTCCCCCTCCTCCCTTTCCAACCACCCTCTCCCCCTCCCTACTTCTCCTCCTTCCCAACCACCCTCCCTCTCCTTCTGCCCCCTTCTCCCTTTCCACCCCCCCCCATCTCCCTCCTTACTCCCTCCCCCCTCCCCACTTCTCCTCCCCCAGGGTGATGGCGCGCGAGGAGGCCGAGCTGCAGATGGCTAAGCGGTCCCTGGAGGCGAAGGACCTGCGATCGCTGGAGGTGGCGCGCGAGAGGGACCGGCAGGTGGCGCTGGCGAGGAGCACGGCGCTCACCACCGCCTCGCTCAGGGAGAACCTCAGGTGCGGAGGGCCTCCTCTTTCTCTCTTTCTTGCCATCGTTCTCTCGCGGTCTCTTTCTCTCTTGGCTTCTTTCTCTCGCTGTATCTTTCTCTCTCACTTGGCATCTTTCGTTGTTTCTTTATTTTCTCTCTTTGCATCTCTCTCTCTCTCAGTGTCTCTGTCCGTTCTCCTTTCTCTCACGGAGAATCTCAGGCGCTGCGCTTTTTCTCCATTCTCTTCCTCTCGCTCCTTCTCTGTTATTGGTTATTTTTGTCTCTTTCTAGCTCTTTTTTTCTCTCTCTTTCCTGTTCATCTTTTTCTCTCTCTTGGTATCTTCCTCTCATTCTCTTTCTCTCTCTTGTTATCTTCCTCATGCTGTTCCTTTCTCTTTATCTGTATCATTCTCTTTGTCTCCTCTTTTCCCTCTCTCCCTCTAGTCGTCGCTCAGAAATGATCTTAGTTGCTGTGCCTTTCCCTCTCTCTTGTTTAGCTTTCTCTCCCAATTTTACTTATCTTTCTTTCTCTGATTTATTTAGCTTTCTCTTCTTGCCTCTATATCTTCTGTGTGGTTTTCTCTCTGTCTCTTTCTCTCGCTAAAGGAGAGTCCCAGGGGCTAAGAGTCTCTCTCTCTCTCTCTCTCTCTCTCTCTCTCTCTCTCTCTCTCTCTCTCTCTCTCTCTCTCTCTCTCTCTCTCTCTCTTCTCTCTCTCTCTCTCTCTCTCTCTCTCTCTCTCTCTCTCTCTCTCTCTCTCTCTCTTCTCTCTCTCTCTCACTCACTCACTCACTCACTCACTCACTTCTCACTCTCTCTCACTCTCTCTCACTCTCTCTCTCTCTCTCTCTCTCTCTCTCTCTCTCTCTCTCTCTCTCTCTCTCTCTCTCTCGTATCCCACAAGACCCCTCTCTCACAAGCAAAGCAAAAACGATCATGAAATAACACCCTCTCACCCATTTCTCCCTCGTATGTATTTTATCCACAATTCCTCTCTCACCCTCCGTCGTCCTCCTGCCACTTCCAGGAAGAAACTGGCGCCGGAGACCTTCGACAAGGTGGTGGCGAGGGCCAATCTGGAACTGAGGATCGAGAACCGGCCGCCAGCGACGTCGTCGGTCGGCACGCGTTCGCATATCTTCCTCGGATAGGTTCGGATTCATCTTCAGGAAACGAGGTTGTTTTGTGGCTGATTTTCGTTTTTGATTCTGTTATTTTTGTTCGTAATTGATGGTATCAATATATTATTTTTGTTATTACCATTATCATCGTTATTATTAGTATCATTACTACTATTATTATTGCTATTATCATTATCATTTGTGCTAATTGTTTTCAATATTGTCATTTATTAATGTCTTACTATTATTACCATCATCACCATTGTATTTACCAAATTATTCATTTTTGTTATTATTATTTCTGTGTAGTATAATTTCTACCACCATAGCTCTGTAAATAAATGTATTAGAAATTAGTGAACTTAGGCATCGTGTGTTTGCATATGTAAACAAAGGAAAAAGCAGAAAAACATAAGAAAAAAAGATATAAATATATATAAAATGGATGGTGGATGTTTGATTCTGTGTAATTGTCTGTTCAGAGTATGTTGTCACGTTATCATTACTGTTATCATTAATATCATTATTACCGTCGTTGTTGATATTATTGCTGTAATCATGATTATCATTTGTATTATCAGTAGCATTACCATAATTATTATTGTCATTATTAAACTATTCTTATTCTTTTTCTTGGGATCATTATCATTATTACTATCATTACGGATACCATTATTATCATTCTATTACCATTACCTCATTGTTATTATTATTGTTATAAATATAATTATTATTGCCATTGTTGTTATTATTATAATTACCATTATCATTTTTATCATGTTAATTATTAGCATCATTATCATCATTTTATTATTATCAATAATCATTATATATTGTTTTATCATGATTATTATTATTATCATTATCATTATTCTTATCACCATTATAATCATTATTATATTATAATCGTTATTGTCATTATTATTTATACTATTATGATTATCATTGATGTCATTATTATTTTAATTTTAAGTACTATTATTATCATTATCATTTTTATCATCTTTATCATTATCACTATAATTATGATGATGGTGATGATGATTATCATTATCATCAAAATCAATCCACTGGATAGCAGGAAACGGACACCAGAGAAAACGGATAATAACTCTGTCTTTTAGGGGTAAATCAACTATTTTTTCCAAAACACAAAAAACATATGAATAATTTTTTTCTGCCATTTGTTATACCGACTTTTGACAAATGCTTTCGATATGTTCACGTCATTTCCAAAGATGTTTGTGTACAGTGTCTTCATTGTAATAAAGAGAAATGCAGGTCAAGTCTTTTCTTTCCAATATTAAACAAGTACAAAATTATCAGAGCAAGAAATTCATTAATTCACAAAAATGACATTATTATCCACGAAGAGCAAGATAAATGATACTACAGTCAATATGTTTTTTTTTATATGATTTCATTTCTCAATAATTTTCACAATATTATCAGGCACCGAGACTCGGTCGTGAATCTTAAGCATCCCCAATTAATTCTCCAGCTGTGAAATGGGTTCTTGTTCACCGAATGTTTGGTTAGTTGCTTGCGTATCAGTTCTTTAAGAAGCTGAACACAAAGAACACCGACACCCCCGCCGCCTCCCCCCCCCCCCACCCACCCTCAAAGAAAGAAAAAAGATACTCATATTTGTCCAAAGGAAGGCGATCTACAACAAAGAACAGACACGGGATTATAATGATGCAAACACGTGTGTATGTGTATATATATATATATATATATATATATATATATATATATATATATATATATATATATATATATATATATATATATATATATATATATATATATATATATATATAATATATATATGATGTAATATATATGCTTATAAATACTCCATACACTATAGTATTACTTGATACTCCCAAATAAATTGCGATACTGTACCAGCCAAACCATCCCATATACTTGACAGGGACAAGCCGACAGCAGCCGATGGCAGTCATCTTCCAAGGCTAAAAATGCGACGTTTTCATGTTTGCAGAGTTGCTTCCCTTAAGTGGAACTGGCTTTGAAAGCACACGACAGGAGGAGGAGGAGGAGAGAAGAGAAGAAGAAGAAGAAGAAGAAGAAGAAGAAGAAGAAGAAGAAGAGAAGAAGAAGAAGAAGAAGAAGAAGAAGAAGAAGAAGAAGAGGATGGATGGTGAGGAAGGGAGGGAGAGGAGGGAGGGAGAGAGGAGGGAGGGAGGAGGGAGGGAGGGAGGAGGGAGGGAGGGAGGGAGGGAGGAGAGAGAGAGAGAGAGAGAGAGAGAGAGAGAGAGAGAGAGAGAGAGAGAGAGAGAGAGAGAGAGAGAGAGAGAGAGAGAGAGAGAGAGAGAGAGAGAGGGAGAGGGAGGAGGAGGGAGAGAAAGAAAAGAAGGGGCAGAAGAACACGGACACCAAAATTAAGAGTAAGAAAATATGAATAAGAATTATAAGTTGATTACCAGCAGTAAAACAAAGAACAGCAAATTGAAAAAAAAAACAGTAAAAAGAAAATGGTTTGCAATTTATTGAAGCAACTTTGACGCTCATTATAAACCAACTAACCAGTTCTTTGTCTCGAAAAAATAACACGAGAAACTGATCGAATAGCTCCTTTTAATTAAATATTTAGCTATTATGCTGACATCCCCTCATATCAATAAAAGAATTATGAACGTATACAGTAGAAAAATCAAATGTTGACGTAACAAATAATGGATATATAACACCTATAATAACACATAAAGATATGCACATAACACACAATAGATAACATACAAATGATAAAGAAAATATGTAACATAAGCCTACTAACATGCATAAAGAATAACACACAAACATGAACAAGCACTACATAACATATACCTAATATTACACATAAACAACGCACAGCCCTTTCATAATAATAATAAAGAGTGATGATAATGATAGTAATAACAATAATGATAACAACAATTACAATAATAATAATAATAACAATAATAATAATAATAATAATAATAATAATAATAAACGCTCCACATCACACACATAGCACATAGACCCTCACATCACACCACACAATCTACAACAGCAAAAAACAAACAAACAAAACATTAAGTGACATGCACCACATAAACGTAAAAAAACAGAAGAAACAGCCCGTAGGTGAGCGAGCAGCCCACGAGGCCCACGCGGTTCAAGAACGTGGGCCAGTTCACGGGCGTGCAGCAGCGGCCAACAGCGCGGCATAAGCGGGCAGGTTGCGAGGCCCTCGTCTGGAAAGGGAGGGCGGGGTCAGGCGGATTCGGAAGTAGGTGCTGGGACATGGGTGTTTATAAATAGGTCTGATAGCTGTCTGCTTTAACTATCTATCTTTCGATTTACATGAACATACAATTACATACATGCGTACATATGGAGAGTAAAACACTACTGTGTTGATGCCATGGTAGGAAAACCTACAATGCACAAATTGTGCTTTTTCTACCATGCACACACACACACACACACACACACACACACACACACACACACACACACACACATATATATATATATATATATATATATATTATATATATAAATATATAATATATATATATATATATATAATATATATATATATATATATATATATATAGATAGAGAGAGAGAGAGAGAGAGAGAGAGAGAGAGAGAGAGAGAGAGAGAGAGAGAGAGAGAGAGAGAGAGAGAGACAGAGAGAGACAGAGACAGAGAGAGAGAGAGAGAGAGAGAGAGAGAGAGAGAAACCGTAGAGAAATAGACAAACAAACGAACAGACACAACCCCCCACACACACACGCGCGTGCACCCCAACCAGACAAGCCAAGCGCCTCCGCCCCCCACCTTGCCCCCGTGCTGCAGCGCCCGGACCATCGTGGGTATGTAGGGGTCCGCCGCCCCCTCCTTCGACGCCCCC